CAGTGGGTAGAGCTGAGAGAGAGAGGGAGGCAGTGTGGGACAGTGGGTAGAGCTGAGAGAGAGGGAGGCAGTGTGGGACAGTGGGTAGAGCTGAGGAACTGGGGGAGAGAAAGTGAGGCAGCACTGGGCAGCAGGTTGAGACGAGGAGTTTGTGAAAGTTTACATTGAATTTGAAAGGTTCGGACTGAATGCTCCTTCAGCTTGCCTGCTTGGTTCAGCCAGGACTGACCCCAGGAGCTGACGGGCAGCAGCTGCGCGTGAGGAGCGGGGCTGAAGCCACGCCGGCGCTCCCGACAAGCTCGCGTCCCTGCGACAGACGCCGCTTTCTGAATGACAGCGCCACCCCTGCTCGTCTCCCGTGGGAGCGCAGGGGAGAAGGGGGCAGCGACGCCGGGCGGGCTTGTCTCGTCAGTGACCCCCACCCCCCCACCAGCCCCCGGCGGGCCCGTCAGCGCGAGCTGTCCGCCCCCCGCCCGCAGCGCCGCTACTCACGTTGTGCAGCTTGAAGTAGAGCCCGCAGGCGTTGCACACCGGGTCGCCGTTAGCGTTGCGCCTCCACAGCGTGGTGGTGGTGGTCTGGCAGTTGGCGCAGCAGGTGCCGGCTCTCCGGGCCGCGGACTGGGGACAGAGGGGCAGAGCGGTGAGACCGGGCGGGTCACGACCTCGCTGGCGGCATCCCTGGACTACAGGGCGACAGAGGCACTCGGGCGCTTCTTACAATCGGCTTTTGCCCGCCCCCCGTGCCCGGACCTCCGCGCTCTCGCTGCCCCGTACGTGGGAACACGGTTTCACACCTCTATGGCTCGCGATCGCGCGTGCTGGGAGGTCTGAGATGCAGACCCCTCGGCTCGGGCCCGTGTCACACCGACCCCCAGGCGCTCAGCACGGGTGGGCTGCTGCCCGCGTCACGGTCACCCGGGGCGCTCTGGGACCCCGGCAGTCGCGAATCGGCTTGTGCTCCAAGTCCAGAAAAGTTTGGGAATATAGTTCCCAGGACCCGGTTCCGCGCTACGGGCCTGAGTGACGGCTCGGCCGTGTCGTTCCTGTCCAGAAGGGGCCGGTGTCTTCCAGGGGCGGAATATATAGATTAATATGTAATATTAATAGTGATAAATATTTGTCTTTATTTCCAGGAAGGGGTTCCGGGGGGAGGGGAAGCGAAAGTGGTCAGACTCCAGCGTCACACCACAGGTCCCTGCGCTCAGAGCCCCGTTCCTGTAAATAAGAGCGACAGCCATAAATCCACCGGCTCTGCAGGCGCCCGGGCTCGGCCGCAGGGCCGGGGAGTCGCAGCGCAGACGCTCCGCACAGCCCGGCTACACAGAACCCAGCGCGGCTGCTCGGGGCGGAAACACGCGGGAGCCGTTTCCTTATCAAGGCCCTGCAGAAATCCGGACAGGAAACAACTGCGCGGCCTTTGAACGAGATTTGAAAACACTTGAATTAAAAGTACAAAGAGTCGGAGACTGACTCCATGGAAAAATAATGGATTTTTTTTTAAAAAAAAACAGACAGAGCTGAAAAAAAAACACTGAAAACGAGAACAGCCGGGGCTCTGGGGTCACCATCACTCCATCACCACCAGCCTCTTCATCTTGCGGCTGATGTTATTACTAGTGTTGATGATGATGATGATGATGACGATGCAGGCTGCCCTCCCACACCGCTCCCATCTCTAGCTCAGGGCTCGGCGGCCAGGTGTTCTGGGAGAATCCCGAAGCCAGGCGGGCCTGGGCTGCTGGTGTCCCGCCGAACAGGCGCAGCAGCTGGGAGACGAGAATGCTCTGTCCCTTTAAATGCTGCCGGTGTCCCGGGCCGCCATCGCCAGAGCAGAGCGGTGAAGGCGGCTGGACCGGACCGGAGGCAGAGCTTTGTATGACGCGCGACTTACTAACTTGTCAGTATCTGTTTAAAAATGAAAGCTCTGTTGGAGGACGTGCAGAAATCACGTCCTGAAGAACAAACTCGGTGAAGTGAATTGCACGAAAAGGAAGAATCTGTCGGACACTGAGAACTGGAGTCAGAAGAGCTGCCTTCTCGCGAGGAAAGGAGGAGCTCGGTGATATTTAGGAAACGTTTAGAAATTATTATTATTATTATTATTATTATTATTATTATTATTATTATTAAAAGATGAGAAATCGTCATCTTCTCCAAAGCCGCAGAGAAAGGGATTATATCGATATTGTTCTAGATCATACGAATTCATGTTCAAAGCGGTGGATTTAACCCACTGAAGTCTGAAGACCGTCCACTGGCCTGCAGCTCATCAAAGCCCATCGGCTCAGTTTCGATCTGCGGCGCCGCTTTAACATTCACTGATGTTAGCTGACAGAAGCTCTATTTCGATTTTCATCAAATCATCTTGTTATTATACAACATCAGGAATAATCAGAATAATAATAATAATAATAATAATAATATCCTAGCCTCTCAGTGCAGGCCACTGGAGTCTCCAGTAACAGTGTGATGTCCAGTGATGACGAATCTGACGTGAGTCACTCCAGTCACTCCAGTCACCAGCATCGCCACTGTTTACCAGCACTCAGACTACAGACCAGGAATAACGCGATCGCGACAGTGAGCGGACAATTCCAGGAAAAATGATATTTCCCGATGGCTTTCCTGGAATTGTGCTACAGTTCACCACCGAGCTCAAATTATACAAAAATCACAGGAGGGGGCAGTTGCTGGAAGGGGCAGTTAGTGTCTGTAGGATTACAGGAGGGGGCAG